CACTATTAACCACAATTGACCATTATTAGCCCCATCATCAACCCATTCACACCAGCTAGCCTTCGATGGGCTGGCTTCTGCGATGTAGAGTTGCTGCAAGGGCTTCTCCAGCAAGAACTCCTCCCACTTGCCAGTCTTTTTCCGACCAGAAAGTGCATCAAACCATGAGGGTAACATAGAAAAGCATCGGGAAAAAAACATGGAACAAACATCGGAAAGAAAAGACACATGGGAAAATCATGGTGCATCTAACCAATTACCATCTGGTTATTTAACATAGCCATGGGAAATCACCATGCTATTAATAGGTAAACCATCTATTTCTATGGGCCATCTATACCATGGCTATGTTAGTCATAACCAGAGGGATCTGGCAAGGCGCCCCTTGGCTCCTCGTCTCCCGGCTGCGGCACCACCACCAAGCCCAACATGTCCTAGCAACCACACAACGAGAGACCGCTCATGTTGGGTACATGTTATAACATGTTACCCTCTGGTAATTTAACATAGCTATTGAACATGGCCATTTATAGTGGATTTTCCCATTAAAAATGGTGTTTTTCCATAGTTATGTTAGTTTACCAGAGGGTATAACATACATTAAAACAACATGATGTTCACATGAGATGATGACATATTGTAGCAAACCACTTCTGGTTGACCAACTCTCATTTGTGCAATTAGCAAACCAACAATCTTGCTGGATTTGTGTTTAACGAGAGACTTGGGGCTGAAAAAAAAAAGAGTATCACCAATTTGGAGCCATACCCATACTATGGTTGTGTCTCAAATGTGGTGTCCCTAAATATGAAAGGATAGGGATATGTAATTGTGATACATAGGGAAACCATGGGAAACTCATTGTAAACCATAGAATGGAATGGGGCACCTAATTTTGAGACATACGCTTCGAGCATCCTACAATTCTACTGGGTTGATAAAATAGGGATTAGCCAGTAGAAGGGCATATATCAGTACCCTATAGCCTATAGGGGTATGTTGAAACTGCTCAAATGGGTCTTGAGAATCACTTGAGTCACTTGAAACTCTTGATGTGGCAGAATAAATGATGAATGTTTGTCCACAGCGAATGCCACAGCAAATGCTGGTTCATGGCAAGGCTGGCCGGTCAACTGCTCGTGGTGACTATGTTGCATGTCGACATATCCCACCGGATCCTGTTGAGCTTCGACAAAATCACACTCTCATACTGTCACAGTTAAATAGTGTTGAATAAACGGGACTGTCCCTCATATTTTGGTGTCTCATAACATTCCAATATCTTAATTTTCCCCACCAGATATTGAGATCTTATATTATCTGTCCCCACTGGTGATATATATATAATTACCCAATACATTATTGGTGTATATATATATATAATGTACAATACTATATATATATATATTATGTATATATATATATCAGATATATATCAGATATATAACTGGTTATCCCAGATATATTAAGTTCTCTTACGTCTTACCCAATTGGGTTCTTATTGGATCTTAGTTCCCATGGCCTGCGGCTTCAGACTGTTGTAGCGCTTCATCTCATCAGCTCCGCAGACGGCCACCACCTGCCAGCTCTTCTATCCATTGTTGATTTGTTTAATGAATACCAAATGGCAGTGTGTCAAAACCTTGTACCCCTGGTGAACATCAAAATAGCTGGTAAATGGATGTTCATCCCCGTAAAAAAGGTATTAATAGGTATTGATCCATACCCAAATCTTAAATTGTTAGCCATGTTTTTTTCATGAATACCACATCGAACATTGTTGAAGATTGAAGTTGTAAAAAAAAATGTTAATCTGATATCCAGGAAACCATCTGTTTAAACATCTGAGATGTCTGTTAAACATCTGCTGGCGGAGCCACCAATCCGTTGGTATGGATCGAAACCCTGGTGCCCTGCTGTTCATACCAATAGCCAACTGAGATTTATGGCTATTCATAGCCCCAAAATACTCCAAAAATATCCAAAATATATGGCTGGTTGGTGGTATACCTACCCCTCTGAAAAATATGAGTTCGTCAGTTGGGCTGATGATTCCCAATATATGGAAAAAATAACAAATGTTCCAAACCACCAACCAGATCTGGGACAATTGATAAAATTAGTAGGTTTTGACCCATGCCCAACTCAATCATCCAGTGATTTTGGAGTCTATCGCTGGCCCCAAGGGGCCACCAAAACCCCTTGCCCCTTGCCCCACTTGGTGCCCTTGGTGCCGGGCCCTCACTCGTGCAGAACCCTTGGAGCTTGAACCTGTCTCCTGTGCAATGCTTGTGCTACTGGGTCCATACCCAACATATCCCAGTACAGTTTGTATGTATATTACATTGTATATATATATGCCATACATGTAAGGAATTTAGCCAGTGACTTGTGGTTTGGGGAGTTTTCGAGAATTTTCCAAGGTTTGCTACCGTGAAGTGAATCTGACTTTCTATGACTTTCTGTAAAGTCACCGATGGGATCACTTTGGATGTGACATCTTCCGCATCCACAACACAACACATCTCACCCAAAGTTCCCAATGCATACTGCAAGGACCAAGGACATGCACGGCGTAAACATCCTCCAAGAGGGTTTCTTTGAGAGCGTGTACGACCTGCCAGAGTTCGCTTCCCATCCATATGGATCCCAACAAAGGTGAAATGAAGGCCTACGTGTCCTCTCAACGTGGAAAGCACCAAAATAAATAGCAAAAACATCTGGAAACATGGTTCAACTGGTTCAAACATATTCAAATAATTTGCGTTAATTTGCTGGTTTCGAATGCAACAGCGCTAAACCGTTCCATTCTAGCTCCGTGGCCACAACCTGGTGAACAACGACACTCAATCCCACTCAATCCCACATTTTCTGTTGCTTCCGCTGTTGCGCACCTCCATTTCTTTGGTCTTTTCATTTCGAACGGCCCACTCGGACACCTCTGGACTCCAAACGATGTCAAATAGTTTTGCTCATAGGATCCGATGGGTTTCACGGGAACTCATCGTAAAATCCTTGGGAAAATCCATGGGGATATATAATGTGTTCATGAAATACAATGGAACATATACCCTCTGGTTAGTTAACATAGCTATGGAAAATGGCCCATTTATAGATGATGTACCTATAGATGATGTACCTATTAAATAACCAGATGGTATATACAAATATTATGATTTACAATTGAACAACGTTACATCCAGGTATCTGGAAGACACTTTCACGAATTAATTCTCCCATACCGTTGGGGATAGTGAATGTACCTGGTTGTCGGGTCAATGAAACCCAGTGGGTATCAAATGTATCGAACATGTCTGGCATCAGATACGCAACTCTGTCCCCGGGACTGGCTTTCAAGAGATACATTAACGATGATGACTTACCAGTACATATATAAAACAAGTAGACTATATTTTATACTATAAATAAACATATATTGTAATATGTATACATATATATATATGTATACATAGATATCATCATATATCATATACTGTTCAACGTGCAATTTCTCGATCATACAAAGCTGTCATCTGTGTCATCAGTCAACCGCCAGGTCCTGGCGACTCAAAGTGCTGGGTCCCAAGCGAGTCCCAACCGACCGAGGGTCCCAACCATCAGAGACGATTTCAGCTCACTAAGGGCTTTCAGGCGAAAGGTGGCAGACCTTTCCCGATCAAATCGATGGAGAAGCCATGGAAACACTTTGCATTTTGGGGGAAAAGAACTTGAAGCAAATATACCAAGTATAATAAAATATGAATAGATTTAATTGTATTTTATTATCTCATATGAATCAAGTAGAATACTAGAATATAATATAATCAAATGATAACTTGTTGGGATGATTACAATCATTTACAGGATTCCCAAATCAGATAGCCACCCTGAGATGATGAACCATGATTCGCCTCATCTTGCTTAAAATCTTGGGTGAGGTCTCAGAGGGGTTGCTTTGATCATGCCGAACGCAAAAAAGGATCAATTTGGTGGGTACCACATTGGGATGGTACATTTGGGATGAATCAGTTATCCATTTGCTTTCATCATGCCCAATCATAATGGTACATACCCCCACATTCCATTTGCATCCATTTGCCCTATCCATTTGCCCCATTTCCATCCACCGTAGGTGACTGTGGGAGAACCCAGCTCGGAATCCCGGACAAATGTCCACTGCCAGCTAATGGCACCAACCAGCCTCGAAGAGGGATCCACTTGACGAATCACCAAATGGTCGATTTCACGTCTGAAAACAAACTGAAGCAAACTGCTCCAATCTAAACCTGGATTCAGTGTGGCTTCAGCACTTCCGTGGACTTATTTATCACACACTTCTATGTATATATATATATAGATATACATATAAATAATACATATATACACACATATACATACACATATACATACACATATACATACACATATACATACACATGCATATACATATATATATATATATGTATATGCATATGCATATGTATATACATACATACATACATGAGATACATTACATACATTAGATACATTAGATACATTACATACATTAGATACATTACATACATTACATACATTACATACATTACATACATTACATACATTACATACATTACATACATTACATGCATTACATACATTGCATACATTGCATACATTGCATACATTGCATACGTACATACATACATGCATACATGCATACATACATACATAACATAACATTACATTACATGACATGACATGACATGACATACATACATACATTACATACATTACATACATTACATACATTACATACATTACATACATACATACATACATACATACATACATACATACATACATACATACATACATACATACATACATACATACATACATACTGAAATTACATTACATTGCATTACATTACATTACATTACATACATACATACATACATACAAACATACATTACATTACATTACATTACATTACATTACATTACATTACATTACATTACATT